TTGTTTTTTTTTTTCGTTTGAGAGGAAATAATAAAATAAAAATAAAGAAATAAAAAATCAAAAAAAAAAAAAAAAAGAAAGAAGAGGGATTCGTGGCGGGCGAGGGGAAAGAGGAAAAGGGGGTTATTTTATTGTGCTTTTTTTTATTTTATATATTTTTGTTTTATTGTCGGCCGCCCTCCCGTCTGGTGGGGAAGCGCACGCAGGCAGAACGCAAAGAAAAAAAAGAAAGTAAAAAAAAAAACAGGTGAGAAAACAACACCAAATAAAAACAAATAATATATACATACATACATACACATATATATTATTTATTTATTATATATACATATACAATAAAGGAAAAGCAACCGCGTCAACAATAACTAAAAAGAGACGCATATATATATATATTGTGTGCGTGCGTGTGCGTCTGTGTGTTACTGGGAAGTTCTTTAACGATCGTTTATGCTTAACAGTGGTGGCGTTGAAAGGCGTCGTCTTCAATGTACAGCCTCCGTTGCATGCTCGCAATCCGTCCGTTCTGCCGCAGGCGGCACTGAAAAGAGTTGTGCCGCACCACGCAGGAAATTTGACGGATCTGGTGCGGAATTTCAGCGTGCAATTGAGGACGTGACACGTGATGTGGTGGATTTTAACTCGCTCTCCATGGAAGACATATCACTTATGCGCTTACGAGGATGCCGCGCCATGGCATCGAGAGGGTCATCGCTCTTTCAGCAAGAAATGCAAAAGCAGCATTCAGGTAAGGGCCCTTTCCCAATGACAAACCACATGTCAATGTCATCACTCCACTCCACGCCTTTTGTGCCTGCGGAGAATTTGACGGCGTTATTCCACAACGTTCAAGACGCCGATTCTTATCCTCACCAAGGCACGGAGGGTGAAGTGAAGGAGTCTGCATTGGGGGCTCAGCTTACGCCTGGCCGAGTCGATGATGGTGAGGAAAATGACGATGATTTTCTTAGCGGGATCCACGCTGCTGCGGACACAGAAGCACCCGAGGTAGGGCCTCGCGCCTTTCAAAGAATCGTTTCTCAGCGTTTATTCTCGTTCCAGTTGGAAAACTCTGAGAGTTTTGAGGTGAATGTTTCCTCCATACAGGGGAAACGCACCTTTCCGCCCTCAGCATCGCCGCGTCAGAGCAGAAGTTCTTCCCACATAAACCTTACGCCAGGAAGTCAGCTATTCTCAACGTGGAAGTTTCCCGTTCTTGGGAAGGTGGAGGGGGGTCCATCTTCCGTTTTTTGGCATGGTGAACAGAAGGGCATTGAAGAGGAAGAGAGGGTGTCAGCTGAGAACGATGGGGGGAGGGAAGAACAAGAAGAAAAGGAGGGATTATGGACAAGCGCCAAGCAAAATGACACGGCCGTTCCAACTGCCATCAGTGAGAATGCAAATGGTGGTGGTGGTGGTGGTGGTGACGAGTTGGTTGGAAAAGGAGGAAAAAAGAAATTTCATGATGAGGATAAAATGAACGCTAGAAGTCTTTATTTTTCAGAAGAGGAACAGGAGCGTCGGTACATGAAACTTCTACGGTTCGTTTATGCCCTTTACGAGTCCATGAAAACAAAAACAACAACAGGAATAGCAGCGAACGCCGCCGATGACGTTAGCGTGGCTTCGTTACGAGATCCTTTTCAAAGTGCTGTTCGTCTTCTACATCCACGAGTGGGGATGCTTTGTCCATCCCTCTCCTCTACAATGATAGGAGCACCGTCCGGGTATTATAGTTTGGGAGCTCGCCCGAGTATGCAGCACGGAAATAAGCAATTTGTTCCAGTTTTGCCGCCTCCGCTTGACAGTTTTTCCATTCATCACAATGATACACAACTGCATGGTTTTGCATTTGAAATGGATCCTCACATCGTGTCTCTTATTGAGCAGCGTCCACTATTACAAACAACCTTGTTTGTGGAGTTTGCATACCGTAAATGCCATCAACGGATGAGAGGGCAGGAACAGTTACGTGGGAGAAGTGAGAGTTTTTTGGGAAGCGGCCCAACTTGTGTTCCATCTAACTCTGGAAAACTTGCACGTGAAGAGGAGAATCTTGAAACAGAATCGAAAGAAGTTACCCATTTGACGCCAAATGCGGACGAAACTGATCTCCCGGTGAAACCGGTTGCCGCCGATGCTTTGTTGCACGGTGTTTCCGGAGTTGGGGCAGCAGGTGCGAGTATACCACAGGCAGCTGGGGCTTCGGTGTCTTTGATGGTAATGGATGAACCACCCATCGCCGTGCATCGCCGGCCGCTCACGCAGGTGCGTGCATGGAAAAGAAAGGTTCATCCCATCGATGAGACGAGTCGTATTGTGGATAACGAGGAGGATAATCTTGTTGTGTATGTGGGAATGATTCTAATGGGGTGGCTGGAGGTGGTGGATATTTTGGGTGCGGGCACGTTTGGCCAGGTCTTTCTATGCAAAGACTTGCGTATAGCGGATGGACACTTTCTGCACCCAGGCGAGATTGAGGGAGAAGATTTTCAATACTGGCAGTGCTCGCATGAGTATATTCCTTTTGGTGATCCATCCATGGTGCCGACTCACCCGCCTCTTGTAGCCGTCAAGGTTGCAAAAAGCCGAGCGTTGTTTGAGCAACAGTCCATCCTGGAGGCGGAGATGCTTGTGTACATTGGTGCACAGACCGCGCCCCAGCAAGCCCGAGATTTTGGGGTGTTGGAAGGGCCTATAGCGACGACATCCGCGACGGAGCCTCCGGAGTCAGACCCACGTTGCAAGTATGTAGCAAAAGTCTTTGCACACGGGATGTGTTATGGTCATCATTGCATAGTTATGGAACGTTGTGGTGCGAATCTTTTTGAATTTTTAAAGAGTCATGATTTTAGGGGATTTCCCATGTATCAAATTCAGGCAGTTGGACGCAAAATATTATTGGCGTTAATGCTTCTTCACGAGCAGTGTCACGTGGTGCATGGTGATATCAAACCTGAAAATGTACTGTTAACACTTGATTCCTGCTTTTCAGCCGCCACCGTTCATGGGGCAGGCGCCATGAATACTGGGAGTGGCCATGGTGATCACATTTCCACTGCGGATGGCAAGCCTTCTTGTGTTTTTAAAGCTCCACTTGAGGCGTCTAGAGTTCTGCTGGGAGGATCAGCAAAGATAAATTTGAAGAATAGCCTGTTGGATGCTCCGGCATCCAAAAACACGGAGTTGGCATTGCCTGCGCCGTCTCCTTTTCGTATTCATAATGTTGTCTCCGTGGAGAGGGCTCAGAACACATCTGTTGGCAGGGAATCTACAGTAGAAAGCAAACAAGATGTTGAGGGTGCAGCTACAGAAACACAAAAAATTATTCTGTCATCTTTAAAAATTAAGATTATTGATTTTAGCAGCAGCTTTTACGTGGGAGCCGGCATCTACACGTATGTGCAGTCTCGTTACTACCGCGCTCCAGAGGTAATTCTTGGTGCCAGGTATGGTCCCCCAATCGACATATGGTCCACGGGATGCCTCCTCGCAGAGTTGCTGCTTGGCCTCCCACTCCTGCCTGGTAGCTCTGATTTTCACCAGCTTTACCTCATGGAGGAGATGCTGGGGCCACTTCCCCCTGAAATTCTTCTGAAGGGAATGCAAACAGCCAATTACTACAATGTTGAGTATACCGAACCTGAAACTGGAAGCCCCATGGGCGGTGGCACCTTGCCAACCGACGGCAACGGAGAACGCACCCCGTCTTTTAGTCTTTTCCGGGAAGAGGAGTATCGTGCTCGTCATGAAAACGTTCCAGCCGTAGAGTGGCGGTGTTATTTTCAGTACCGCACACTTGCGGAATTGCTACGGAACTGCACGCTCAGTGTGGAGGAAAAGCAAATTGCTCTGGGGCGGTGTCCTACGCTTGCCGGTGGCGATACACCTGAGGATATGGCAGCAGCTGGAAAACAGAGGCCGATAAAAGCCATTGTTGACGAGATGATGCAGCAAAGGTTTTTGTTATATGATCTTCTTAAAAAAATGCTTCATGGCGATTCATCCAGGAGGCTGACAGCTCGCGAAGCGCTGGTTCACCCCTTCTTTGTGCACACACCAAATTACATGCAACCATATCATTTTGTGACGGAGTAACGCGGCACATTTCTTTCTTTTTTTTTTTTTTTTTTTTTTCTTTTAAGGAAAGATGTCTGATGCTGAATGCATTATTCCCGATAATCGTCTTATTTTCCCTTGCAAAAAAAGAGGGGGAAAAAAGAGAATTTTGAGAAGGAATAAATATATTTCTATTTATTCTTGAGAAGCTTAGGGATATGCGTCAGTGAGAAGGGATAATGTGGAGCCCCCACCCCCTACCACCTGCCCCCTCTCTCCCTTAACGGGGGGAGAACAGTGGTCCAAAACTGATTTCAAACAATCGCTTATGTTTATTTTGTGGATGGAGGGGAATAGGAGGAAATTGTTGCTGTCCTGCGCTTCCTTTCACTCTTATTTTATTATTATTATTATTATTATTATTATTATTTTTGGTTTTGTTGTTTGTTTTTTTTTTTTGTTTGTTTGTTTGTTTGCGTACTTACTCTCTCCGTTTTTTACTCTTCCTATGTGGGAAATGATGTTCAGAAATTCTTAATTAGAGACATTGACTTCGATTGCCTTTTTATTTTCTTCTTTTTTATTATTGTCGATGCTTCTGGAAAGAATGTGCGGCCAGTTGGGACTCGGGAAATGATAGTGCTGTTTGTTTAACTTCCCTTTCCTTTTTATATATCTGTCAACTGATTTGGGCTTTCTAACTGTGCACGTTGGAAGACAGCGAGTGGCGTTCTTTCATGTGTGTGTGTCTGTGTGTTTTTGTGTATTTCCACCCCCTGCTGCCCTCCACGCGGAGAGGCATCCGGCGGCTGCGGGGCTTTATAAATGACTGCCACCTCGTGAGCTCACAGCGAACCCGGTTCTTATGACCACATGTTTTCTGAATCCATTTGTGTACTGATGTATGAGTGTTTGGTGAATCTTCTCTGGATTGTGGGAAGATGCTGGGCGCAGTGAGCAAAAATGCCATCTCACATTGCGTCATTGCCCTCCGTGGGCATAAAGAAAAGGGCCTCATCCACACGCAGGTTTGCTTTTGCTCTTGCGCGTCCGGGGTGGGCAGCCAGAGAAGACGAATATGAAAGGATGAGCTTAAAGTTAAGGCTCATGCGGAGCCATTATAAAAATGAAGGAAGGAAGATTTGGCTTTTTTTCTTTTTCTTTTTTCTTTGCCAAATGTAAAATGTCGGCCACAACTACTGTTTCTTACATCACTTCTTTTGAATGGTTTGGTGTCTGTTTGTGTTCTGCCAACGCTGCTTTTATTTTTTATTTGCTTATTTTATTTTGTTATTTTTTCTTTTTTTTTTTTTTTTTTTTTTTGTGTGTGTGTTCTCGGATAAATTCCTTTTTGATTTTCTCTCAGTCGGCCTGTGGCTTCCGGTGGAATTGGCGAGCACGCTGCCTGCGTTTGCATCGGAACGGTGGGCAATTAGCACAGTGTGCGTGTGGAGCGTGACGCACGCACAGACACACGGGTCAAGGGAGCAGGGGGGACGAGCCAATATTGGGTGTGCGCGGAGCAATGGGTGCGGCGCTTGGAAGGTCAACGCCTAGGGGACCGTGCATGTCACTGGAGCGGAGGGGCACAAAGAGCCCGCGCGCCACTTCTGCCAACTCTAGGCCTCCGGACAATCAACAGCCACAACCCAAATCCACATTGCTTGCCGCAGAAGTCCATGTATTGTCAGCCCCCAACGGACGCCAAAGCGATCATTTCCTTCCCGATACGCAGGGGAGTGGCAACAAGGGGAAACCCTCACCCCCGCGAAACCCTATTGGGATTGAGACTGGAGGTGTGAAAGCATTACGGCCCCTTTCTGTATCAAATTCATCCAACTCTGTCAGTGCGGATAAATCCAATGATGCATCGAGCAGCCGCACTCCGGGACAAAAAAGGGAGAAGAAAAATATTTTGCGAAGCTTGGATGGGAGTGTCTCGCCCCAAAAACAAGGGCCATCTCGAGAGTCAAATCCAGAGGATATTGCAGCAACTCCGCCTCTATTGCGAATGGCATCGCTTTATGAAGGGAAAGGGAGTTCACGTGGTAGGAAAACAGGAGATGAATCTCAGGAATTTGGGCTGTCAGGCCGCGTGGGGGGAAATTCTGTGGTGAGCCGTCTTCACTTTCTGAGCGCGAAGAAATCGCAGGAGTCCATTTTTTCGGATGCACAAAGTAATGGAGAATCGGCTATAAACCTTGCCCAAACAAACAACACCCGCTCCAGGCAAAGCATGTTGGGTAGTATTGAAAGTACAAAGACATTACTACATGCCAAGGCTGTTCTTCGAAAACATGTGCACCATTCCTTGGCAATCCCTCCACTTAGCGCTAGGCCTTCCAGTTGCCGTTCCACGACATACAGTGCCCTAAGTGAGGGTGATGCTATTTTAACCAGAACCGTCAACCCTTTAATTCCACGTGACAAGTACGGAGGCAATTTTCATCTTCCGGCAGTACACAATGTAGAAGCGGTTGATGGAATAGGCAAAATAGGACGTTACCATGATAGAATTGATATCATTTCCTTGCTTGAGAACAATACACAGGCAGAGTTGTCTTCTTCATCCTCATGCCTTGTGAAATCACCATTACTCCGGGAAAATGGTGACTCTTGGAGGCAACAAAATGGCTTTTTAGCAGACAAATGCCCGAACCATAATCTTGTGGAATTGGTTGTGGATTCTGCTACCGATGAGAAATTAAATGGACAATCAGGGGATCGGTCAAGCAGGGATCATTTGTTGCGTTCGGCTCCCCCCACTGACTGCTACCCATTAGCCGATGTTGCCTCACGGAATCCTACTCCACGAATCGATTGCGGACACTCCTCCCAAAATGAGTTTGGATGTACGAAACGTCCAGGGAAAAAAGGAGACAGCGGCCGTGGCGGGGGCCAAACCGGTCAGGACGCTGCTGATGATGCGGCTGTCGGGTGGGTTGCCATAGGTGGCGAGGCTGGTGTCGGCGGCGAGGACTGGTATGCGCGTCTTCGTGCTCGCTGTGGCCTCGAAGAATCCGGTGGAATCGCCGGACTCACCGCTGGAAACATTGGCGATTGCAGCGATGACGACGTGAAGAAAAACGAGACGGTGGCTCCTGTGGGAACGGCAGAGCCCGGGACTGCGCACTAAGAAGCGACAAGCTGAGGAAAAATGGTGCTCCTTCCGCTAGTACTGATTCAATTTTCGGATCCTTGCCTCGCGTGGAACGGAGGGAAAGAAATAGGCAAACAGATGAAAAGGACAATTCCAACGTATATATATATTTGTTGACACATAGTTTTCAAAGAAGGCAAAGAAGGGGAAAGAAAAAAACTCATCACCCTCACCCTCTCCACACATTAACAGATGTGCTGCTAGAGAAACAATAAAAAAATATTCAACGAGGTGAATAGAACTGTAGAGAAAGGGAAGAATAAAAAAAAAAAAAAAAAAAGAAGGAATCGGAACAAGAAGCAGAAGTAAGGAACAGACATTTACGAAGGAGGTGACGGGACAAAAATTTTGATGTGGAATGCGAACGACTTAAAAAATGCAGAATTAGTTTTGTGAATAGCTTTTATTTTGCGTGCGTTTATGACGGTATTGCTTTGTGTCTTGTATAACTTCTTTATTTCCACCTACTCTGCACTGGCGACATTGAAGTGTTGAAAGTTATAGATGAGGATACGGAAACCAAACAGCTTTATGTTATCGCCGCCCCTCTGCTTGGAGCCGAAGGGGAGAGAAAGAAAACGCAACTGTTAGATACGAAGCAACCCCTGCAAATAACATGATTTACAAGCACAAATGCATGTAGGGACCATTTGTCATGTCCCCTCTTAATAACACTAGTAAACATGACAATAATGTTTTCTTTTTTTTTTTTTTGCCACAAGAGGACACTAACAGGAATCATATATGCATATATGGGCAGCACGGTTGAACAATACAGACGTATCTTCTTTTATTTAAGACTTTGATTTTAGTGCTTGATTGATTTATTAATTTATATTGTCATTCGGATGTGAATTTTGCTTTCTACACCTTCTTTTTCTTTTTAACCCTGTTTATTTGCGTGTCTGCGTTTTTTTTTTTTTTTTTTTTTTTTTTTGTTTTTTTTGGTTTGGTTTGGTTTTTGTTTTTCTTTTTGAAATTATTTGCCAGTCTTTTTCTTTCCATTTGCCTACAGAACTGTAAGGTCATCCAATGTGTTTCAAGGGACTATTATGTGTACTTGTGCCGTTGGACATGTTTTTTATTATAATGTGCTTTTCTCTGACGTTAACTACCCCCTACCCTCTCAGTACTTTGTGGAGGGAAGCATGCATGCATATCTTACACACCCACGCACTCACACTTTTCTCTCTTTTTTAACTAAAAATATGCGCCTCTGTACCACACCGTTTTTACAGGAAGAAAAGAAGGAAAAAAAAAAAAGAAGGATTTTTCGATTGCTTTTGTTGCTCCTTGCGCTTTTTCGAGCCTGCGCGGCTGCAGGATGGGAGAAAAAGTGGAGGAATTACATTGACGTATCCACGGCTATGCGTGGTGTGTGAGTATTGGTGTTGGGGGAACATGCATATGCCCGCTAAAGCCACCTGCAATGAACGAAGGAACAAAACTCCCGGCGTGGGCGACACGCGTGCAGTTGTCTTCGGCGGCGGACGGCCTCCGTTACGCGCTCCACGTGTTCTCTGGAGCGCGGATTCGTTTTCAACAGCCTCCATGCGACGCCTGATCGGGTTGTGCGGAGGGGACCACTTTCCCTCGCCCAAAACAGGGCAATTGGCAGTGGACACAATGGCGAAAAACATCGCAACAGCAAACAGGCATACCCGAGTCCCGACAGGCGCCAGGGTTTCGACCAGCCAACCTCACAGGGGCGCAGCTCCTGCATCCATTGCCAGTAGACACTCGTGGCTCTACCGAGACTTTCCGAGCGGGGGAGAAGAATTTTCATTTGTCACTGCCTGCTCGGTTACCAGACGATTTTTTAAGAAAGTTTTTTTCAAAAACAGAACAAATGTTTTCAAGTCGAAACTGCAGCATGCTGGATTGCTTGGGATGTCGACAGATTGTTCTGCCAACCGACCCATGGCTAGCCAGGGAGAGAAATATTTACGAAACCCTTTTTCTTAATTTTATGGATGCTTACGCTGTAATTCGGAATTCATTGGGATCGCGGGCGCATATCAAAATTTTGTAAGAAGACAGTAAACCCGGGCACAATGGTGCGTTGGCCCACCCAGTCGCCAAACCTCAATTTATTGTGGCATCATCTTATTTAACGTTGTTTCTTGTTGGGAGCTTGTGAAGAGAATGATCGCGGGAGAGCTGGCTAACTTAATTAATGTGCGTAAATCCTGTTAATTGAATGCTTTTCTTTATGATATTTTCTACCGTATGAATATATTGTGAATGACACGACTTTGGTAGGGGGCAGCAGGGAACCGATAGGGGCAAGATATTATTTTATTTTTATGTTACCATCCCACCCAATCTCTTTTGATTCCCACCACGCGGCGGAGTGTTGTGGCTGGAGGAGTTCAAAGTCTGCCACATCGTATGTAATAAATAAATAAATATATGTGTCCCATCCGAATAGAGTGAACTGGACACGATTGAGGCTAACGGATGATATATACACGTACATATATATACATGTACACTTACTTGTTGTTGAACTTTGGGTTTGTGGTGAATCCCCACTCTTATTCCACTCATCACTTTTCTTACTCCTATTTTTTTTTTTTTTTTTTTGATTTCTATTATTGAGAAACTCAGGATTCGGCCAGCGGCCCAGAAGATCACTCCATTTTCTTTCTTTGTGTGTGTGCGTGTGTATGTTTTTGTGTTTTTCCTTTGCAGAGCAGTTGTAAGTGTGAAGTGCCTTGCTCTTTTTCCTGTGTGTTTATGTACGTCATATTTCTTTGCATTTATTTTTTTCTTCTTTTTTATGCCTGCTGCTTTCGTCGTAACAAAAATGACTTCAACTACAAAATTATTAAGTCTGCCCTCACGGATTTGTTATTGAATCAGGTGCGTCAGAGAGAGAGAGAGAGAATTCTTTCCTCTCCTCGTAGATTACGGTGCCACATTATAAGCGCAAATATATATATATATATATATATATATCATTATTAAGAAGAGAGACGAGAGTTGTATCAGTAGAAAGACCACAATAAAAGTGCTCGTGGAAGGAGGGGGGAAAAAAAAGAAGAAGTAGAAAACATTATTTAATTTCGTTTTCTGTAGTATTGACCATGACGCAGAAGGAGTTGGCACTAGCAGCTCAATTCAACGGCAGTTATCGTTGTGCCACCACTGTTGTTGTGCGTACGGCGGCGACGGAAACAATTCATCGTGCCATGCCAGCGAGGACATTGTCAAAACAGCGCGGCGATAGCGCCTCCAGAAGCGGGAATGGCAGTGAAGGGACCAGCACCCCCCAAAAGGGAACCAGAACTAATGGGAGCTCTCCCTCTACGCATAATCCGTCATGCGAAAGGCCTCGGTGTACATTTTGGCTGGCGCGAAGCGATGGGGACATTGAAATTCGATCTGTGGCTGTGCCGGATCGTGTCATAGACCTTGTGCACCGCACAAAAAAGGCAATAGTGACGTCACTTCTTCAAATATCTCGTAACCGTGTTGTTGCCGCTCTCTCGAACGGATTACTTCAGGTATTAGATGCGGTTTCCCTGCAGGAATGCAGGACCGTACAGGCACACAAGTCGTCTATAACTTGTATGGTTCCCGTGACGCTGGCAAAGACACAAAGGTCGCAGGAAGAGTTTGGGTGTTCTCGCATTCCTGCTTTTGTAACGGCGTCGTCGGACCTTACAATTGCAAAGTGGGATGGCGTGACACTGGAGTGTCTTGGTCGAATGAAGGGTCATTCGTGTAGTGTCACGGCATTGGCGGCGACTGTGAGTGGGGCATTCCTATTTAGTGGGGGTGAAGACGGTTCGCTTCGGATGTGGTCTTTGGCGGAAGGCGCTCAGGTGCTTCGAAAGCCCACCAGCCAAAAGAACGCAAAGAAGGGGACAAAAACGAAGGAAACGGCTGTGACCCCGTCGGGGCAACAGCCACAACAGGACACAAAGAAGAAAAGGAAACAATCATTATTGCCAGTTCAAAAAGAGGGGTCTCATACTGCACGGCACAGAGCAGTTGCACAAGTCTCCACCGCACGCGCAACTCGTTCGCTTTCTGCGCAAACTCCATCCCGAGGAGGGGCTACAAAAGCGGTTACCACTCCGAGGACTCCTTCTGTAGCGACACGGAAAAAAGGATCACGCGCGATGTCTCTGGTTTTGGAGGGGCGGCCGCCTCGCAAGAAGTCCATAAAATCCAGCAATTCAAAGCCAATCACACCACGTCCAGGTCCGGTACATTTTTCCGGTGAGCCAGAAGCCGCCATGAACGAAGAAGATGCTGATGAGGAGGAAGAAGAGGAAAGGGAAGAGAATGACGACGAAGAAAAGGACCGTGTAACGGGCTCTGAAAAAACTCGCGCATTATTACCTGCGGAGGATGAGACAGGAGCGTCCTTGAGAAACGGCCTGAATGCCGGGGAGGCGGGTGAGCATAAAACACCACGAAAGACGTCCAAGGTAAAGAAGGGAAAAAAGCGTCTTGGATGGAATTTTGACACGGTGTTGAAACAGTTGCTGGGAGATTCCGTGGAGGATCCTGTGGTGCGCCACTTCTTTGCCATGCAACATTTTTGTTGGGAAGAAGATACTGCACTGCTTTGGCCAATGAAGTGTGAGCACCAAAAGGCAATTACGGGACTAACACTGATACGGGATCGTATTTTGGTGACAGCGTCTCAGGATGGTGTAGCCAAGATGTTTGCCTTACCCACTGGACGAATGTTGCGTAGCGTGCATCGGGGTCGAGCTGCCTTGACAGGTCTCGTCATGGATGAATTGCATTGCCGTCTTTGGATCGGTAGCGCAGATGGCTCCCTTGCTGTGTACGATGTACTTCATCCGGATGTAGTGCCACTGTACAGCTGGCGCGATCTCAACACACCGCATCCACAACTAGTGCCATTAGTCTTTCATGGATCATTGAGTCATTTGTACGTGTTTTCCTCCTTTGATGATAAAAATGCGTTGAGTTTATTACCTGTGAAAGACGAAAATAGAGGGGAGCCGGCCCACCCATGTCAAGGGAAAAAATTTTTCGTCAAGGACTCTTCTCACAAAAAGCTTTGCAGCGATAAAAAATTCAATTTGCCTGCCAAGGCAAGCTTGACATGTGTATGGTTAGATGGTGGAGACGGTGCGATGCTGATGGATATACCTTTTTTAAAGTCATTAGATAAACAGTTTGAGAGTACACGCAGTTTTTTTTTCGGAAATAGTGTACGTGACGCCGTGTTTCGCAGAATTATACGTCGCCCAGTGACAGAGGAAGGAGAGGAGTTACCGCAATATCTTGCGAGAGAGCGGGCCAAAGCTGCCTCCGCTGTGCAATTTGCCTTTACCCAAGCGTTACGACAACGGGCCTTCAGTCGCTGGCTGATGTGGAGGGCCCGACGGATGGCCCGCTATCGATGTATGCGTGCAGTTCGTTTTTTGGAGGTTTTTCAACAGGAACGGGTACTGGAAAGTTATTTCAAACGATGGCAACGTTGGAGGCCGTCGGCGAGGCGTCTCCTGCTTCATATGGACATGAGCAGTGTTGAAAAGCGGCTTAAGTGTATTTCCACTTCCTACCGTTGGAACGAAATCTGTGATGTGGCGGATATTGCACGGGAATTGGGAAATAGTTTTGCTGCTGCTGAGCATAGGCGTCTTTTGCAACGGTACTACCGTAAATGGGTTATTCACATAAAAGAGACGCGACGTCGTAACGCGCAATCGACAGCCTTCAATAGACTCTTTTTGTCCTTCTGTGATGTAACATTTGGAGATAAATCCTTCATATGGAAAAGACTAAGAGACGCGGCCGAAGCAACGCAAAGGCGCCGCCGTGCACTTTGGTTGCTGGAGCAGCACATGGTTTCCAGTCAACACAAATGCCGTCGATATTATATGAAGCTATGGATTAAGTACGTTAAACGTCAAAAAGAGGTCCGTCATTCGTTGGTTCTTGTCGATACACTTTCTTCTGTCTTGGCAGATGAAAGGGCACTGCGATCCCGATTTTACCTCAAGTGGTATCGATTTGCCCTTTTTGAGGCAAGACTGCTGCGCCTCGATGAGGAACGGACAACCATGCAACGAGAGTGGATTGCCGTACAAAACGCGGTGGACAGCACAGCTTCTTTGACAGAGCTTCGCCAAGAGGCAGAACAGCTGGAGGTGGAAATAGCAGAGCAGGCATTTGAGCGAGATGAGGTGGAAAGCCGAAATTTGGCTTTGCGCTCGGATATAGAATACCTGCAGGTTCAGAAGTCTTTGGAATGTCTTCTTGCTGGTTATCGCGATTCTTCGGACACGGTTCGTAGACGAAGAGACTCCGGCTCGGCATCACGGAGCAAAATGTCTTGCAACACCAGTCGTGAAAGAATTACGTTATTTGCTGATGATGACACCTTTGACGGTGAGGTAGGAACGCTGCGACAGGTGGGAGCGGTGTTGCGGGCCCTCAAGGCCACAGGTGTACGATGTGGACGTCATAGAGCTCTAATTATGGCATCGTATGAGAGAGTTGTACAACTTTCCATACTTGAATACCCATTAGAAGCCTGTGATTACAACTCCATCATGTCCTTGTGTTCCAATAGCGACGAATCATCGCTGCGCATGAGACCCAATGCATTGGTGACGGAGGGAAAAACGTCATCAGAGCAAAGACGTCATGTCACTGCTCACGCGAATACACCACCTTTTCTATCGGATGAGTTTGATCGAACCATGCAGCGGCTTCAATCAATTATTGTGAATGCTGCAAGATTGACCGGCGTTAACCTGAACGAGCCTTCCAATTACGATTCACTGATTTCCATACAGGAGGAAAGCTCAGGTAATGAAAAGCGGATTATGAATACCACAGATTGTGCCTCGCTGCGCTGGTTAGATTTTGTTCCACCTACAACGCGAACGGAAGCTCTTCCGCTAATTGTGGATCTTGTCGCCATGTTTGACTCTTTGAAGGCACACAGTGACATGGAGGTGGAGGGTGGTGAGAAGAAATTATCCACACGAGGGGCAGCGAAAGTGATACCGCTTCCTTTGAGAAGTCTTTGCAAACCACAAACCGCTGTCTGGCTTGTGCGTCACGCTGCTGTTCTTTTAGAACTGATGTCTCCTGGGCTTTGGAAACGACACTTAAAGCTGCGGACATTGGCGACGGGCGTAACCGAGCCTGGGACAGGTACTCTGAGCAGTGACGCTGCAGAGTCTTCACCGGCGAGGTCGGCAGGTGCAACTGCCACATCAGATAATTCGCCGGGAACAAATAAAAGTCGCACTTACAACAATGGGGCATTAGAAGGAACACCACGACAATCAATCCCACAGCAATTTCCAAGGCTGTCTGTAGACGAGCTAGGCGTGTGTAAGAAACAGCATCGCTCCATGTCATGGACTGCATCAGAGACTCGTAGAGGACACTCCCAAAAGGTCTCGTCACCGTGTGGCCGTGCCACATTTCAACAAAGGGTTTTGGTCCACAGTGGAGGTTCCCTAACACCACGCCCAAAGAGTAGTTTTCAATTTAAAGAGGAGGACTCGGATGGACCACGCCGAAGTTTGCCCATTCCATTGCCTTTCACTCATTCAAGTGCCTCAACGCCGACAAAGTCAATGTATGGTTCTTCCACGACACGCCCTTATCTGGGATTTCGTGTCGCTGTAAGTCGTGACGATGCGGGCCACACCACCTTGACTGTGCACGAGGTTGCAGAGAGCTACGTTGGCGCCAGCGATGGCGTTACAAGAGAAGGACCAGCCTTTGCTTCTGGATTACGTGCCGGAGATCAATTGGTACGCTTCGCCGGGTACGCGGTGACGGAGCTTGCTGCATTCAACGCCGTCGTTGCACGTCATGTGCGACCCCATGGGACAGTTCCAGTGGTTTTTTCGAGAAACGGGCAGCTCATGTCATCGACCATCGCCGTAGGAGAGAAATCCCGAAACGGATAAATGTCGTTTCTTTTTTTTTTTTTTTTTGTCGACTCTAAAGTCAAGAGAAAATCTAAAAATTGCAACTATTACGTGTGTTTTGTATCCGATGGCTAAACAATTGGTGATTCTTTTTTTTTTTTTCTGCCCTTACTGTTCTCTCTCATCCAGTTTATGTGTGTGTCTCCGCGCGCATGTATGCATTTCCACAGTGATGAACCGTTTTACTTGCTGCTCAGTTCGCATGTTTGTGCGCACCCTCCCATCCTCCTATCTATGTGCACCTGTCCATGGGCATGAGAGAAGCGGGCCGGGCGTCCGTTGCGACCGTCACCGCTGAGTCCGGACGGAAGGGCAATGCAATTTCTGGTACCTTCTCCCCCCCTGCGTGTTTTTCTCCCCATCTCAGCCGTTGGATTCTTCCCCGTTTTTCTTCTTGCGTTTGTAGCGGACGAAACGGAAACAAAGAGTAATACTTGGTTTGAGGCTTGTGAATAGTTTGCCACGCTAGATGACAAAGGGACTTCATGACTTCGTCACACCACTATTTGAGATCACATACATGAGTGATCCTCCCCCATTTTCCTTGAAAGGCTCTTTGGAGCGGATTCGTGGGTGGAATGTGTACAGGCTACCTCCTCTGTGGAACCACGGCAGCGAGAAACGGTACAAGTGCACGCACCGACTTCACCGGAACCAACGCATGCCATATGAACTGTCCAATGTCACCGGGGATCCCATCGCCGGCATGTACGTTGACATTCAACTGGTCCTTCGCTACCAACTGAACCCATACCGACCGCCGCACTTGCCACCTCCTTTAGGTTTTGAAGACTGCATTTACCGGAATCAGAGGCCGAGTCTCCGTGAGGTGTTTATGGAGTTGGTGCCATTGCGTCCTGGCGTTGACGTGAACGATGCGTTGTCTTTGGGAGCGGCACACGGTGCGTGTGGTGTTCAACTGTACACAGAGGCCACCGGCGTCTTCGAGGAATTTCCCCGCAACGAGGAAAATGGCCTCGCCCTCATCTATTCCACCGTCCCCTGGGCGAGGGAGGAGCTGCAAACCACTTTTGATGCTGGTGCCGAGGCCCCTTCCCTAATTGTGGATGATGTGTTCATCAGCTGGGATACGCTTGGCCTATTGAGCCTCAACGAGTTGAGTGACGCTGGCGCGCTGCACACGGAGGAGGATCAGTGGGCTGGTCTTTTTGATTGCTACTTGACCGCGTGATACAACGTTCCCTATTCGGCACGGAGCGGCGCATGCGTTCCTGATTTTGCGTATACTTTTTTTTTTGTTATCGTCACATGGAGCTCCCGCCACCCTGCCGTTTTGCACGCACCACGTGCTTGCGGGTTGACTGTGGCCTGTTCTGCATTTTGGTTTACATCTGAGACGCACCGGGCTGTGAGCCCCTTGGCGGAGAAGTGGGTGTGGCGTCACGTTTAAACATCCGTGCGCCCGCTTTTACGGGACTTTCCCCTCCAGCGTTTTCTGCGAGCCCCGCTTTTCCACTGCTTTCTCGGATGCTTACAGTTTACTTGTGTGTCTCCGCGCGCATGTATGCATTTCCACAGTGATGAACCGTTTTACTTGCTGCTCAGTTCGCATGTTTGTGCGCACCCTCCCATCCCCCTATCTATGTGCACCTGTCCATGGGCATGAGAGAAGCGGGCCGGGCGTCCGTTGCGACCGTCACCGCTGAGTCCGGACGGAAGGGCAATGCATTTTCTGGTACCTTCTCCCCCCCCTGCGTGTTTTCTCCCCATCT